CTTTAAATCAACTTCTTAAGCAAGGTCGGCAAAAACATTGGACGGAAAACAAAGAATGGCGTTCAGAATATTAATATTAAAACGGAAGCTTACGGAAGCGCCGATACTAACTTTTCCCAATTTCTCTAAAGAATTTTTCTTATATACTGATGCCTCAAAATTAGGTTTAGGAGCGACTTTAAAACAACGCGATAATGAAGGCAGACCAAGAGTAATAGCCTACGCCTCACGAGGATTATCCAAATCAGAAGAAAATTATGAAGAAAACTTCGGTATAACAGAATTAGAATGTTTAGCAGATTACTGGGCAAATCATTTCCGACAAGTCTGGCAGGTAAGAGTAGATTTATTCTGATTCATAAAAGTTTTTTAACTCATAATGTTTTGCAGCATGCATCATTATTATATAAATACTTGTAGATTAGAATTCAGTCTTAATTGAACAACACCATAATAAGAACGGTAGCACGAAGCTAATCTGGTAATAACCCGGTCGGAAGAACACCACTACCAGACCATCCGACCGTAACAGAAGAAACATACTTTTTACAATTACCAGGACACGATAACCAGTGATAGAACTACAGTTATTGAATATATTTTTATTTAGAAGAGAATTGTATGAAACAAATAATGCAGGACAATTCATTGCTGGAAGAATTGCTATGACACAGTGTGTCACAAATGGCAAAAATACTATTGATTGTTGTGCTACAACGGTTTTAGAGTGAGAACAGCTTTACACTTATGGGCAGAGAAATTTATTGACATAAATTGAATTTTTTTTACATTTACTTCTGTGGTCAATTTATTGATTTCACCGAATTGATTAACATTTTCCCAAGAATAGTATTACATACTTCAACTAAGTAGCACTTAACTTTTGACAATTCTTGGGCATACTTTTCTATAATAGTTTGGGCAAATTAAATGTAATAAATTTTCCATGGGATTTAAGGCTGGATTATTAAACTCACTTAACTGACAGTTATGATAAGCATGACGCATTTCTCGTGAGTCACACCACCGCAGTGTTTTCGTTTCACAGCCGCTCAATGAATGTAGGACCAAATAACGAAACAGATTAGGATAAAAGCGGACAGTTACACTGGAAAAGAATCGACACAATCCGGGTTCCAACTGAAGTAAAATAAGTTAATTAAACTGTTTGCTGCTAAAAGTTTCAAGGCCAGTTTGAAGTTCATGTTCTTACTATTGAAAAATGATTGACAAAAAAGAAACACTTTCATATTAATATGGGGTTCTTCTGTGTTGCTACCAATATCTAACAACTTTCTTGTATTATTCCTTTTTGGCCTATGTATTAGTGTATAAATAGTATGATAACAAGTTGACATTTTGACAAACTTTAATCAACACCATACATTATACTGCTTGTTCAGAGATAAACTTGGATCAGCTTCAAAACCATGATATCTTGTACAGCATTTATGAGAAATTGACTTTGAGTTTTATAACCATGTTTCAATAAATTAGAAAGTCATGCCCACTAATTTTTTAATAACTGCTGCTAAGTATCAAAACCATAGATTCAGGATAAATACCTTTGCATTATTGTTTGTTCCTATGTAAAATTATGCTATAAACAGCATTAAAAAATACACACACTGAGCTTTTGTAATTGCTGTTTTCTATTTTCAATCTGATTATAATTAATGTTCCAAAACCTGAAGATATTTAATTCTAAAGCCTTTGTTAATGCAATTGCTCCTGCATGTCCAAACAGATTACAAGAAATCGTAAAGGATGTCAGAGAAAGATTTGATTCAAGAGCCTTTGCCAATGCTGTTGCTCCTGCATCTTCAATCTGATTAGAATAAAGGTCCAAATGTGTAAGAGAAAAATTTGATTCTAAAGTCTTTGCCAATGCTATTGCTCCTGTATTGCCAATTTTATTATGAGTAAGATCCAAAGAAGTCAAAGAAGAGTTTGATTCTAGACCCTTTGCCAACACTGTTGCTCCTGAATCTACAATCTGATTCCAACCAAGATCCAAAAAAGTCAGAGAAAAATTTGATTCTAGAGCCCTTGCCAACATTGTTGCTCCTATATCTCCAATCTGATTAAAACTAAGTTTCAAGGAAGTTAGAGTTGAATTTGATTCTAGAGCCTTTGCCAATGCTGTTGCTCCTGCATCTCCAATCTGATTCTCAGAAAGATTCAAAGAAGTCAGAGATGAATTTGATTCTAAAGCCTTTGCCACTGCTGTTGCTCCTGCATCTCCAAGATTATTATTATCAATTGTCAAACCAGTTAGAGATAAATTTGATTCTAGAGCCTTTGCCAATGCAATTGCTCCTGCATCTCTAATCTGATTAGAGGAAAGATCTAAAGAAATCAAAGAGAAATTTAATTCCAAAGCTTTTGCCAATGCAATTGCTCCTGCATCTCCAATCTGCTCATAAGCAAGATCCAAAGAGGTCAGAGATGAGTTTGATTCTAGTGCCTTTGCTAATGCTGATGCTCCTGCATATCCAATACTATTACTAGTACCAGAAAAATGTAAAGAAGTCAGAGAAGAATTTGATTCTAGAGCCTTTGCCAATGCTGTTGCTCCTACATCTCCAATTTGATTAGACAGAAGATTCAAAAAAGTCAGTGAGGAATTTAATTCTAGAGCCTTTGCCAATGATGTTACTCCTGCATCTCCAATCTGATTAGAGGAAAGGTCCAAAGAAGTTAAAGATGAATTTGATTGTAGAATATTTGCCAATAATGTTGCTCCTGCATCACCAATCTGATTAAAGGAAAGGTCCAAAGAGATCAGAGAGGAATTTGATTGTAGAATCTTTGCCAATGCATCTCCTGTCTGATTATTTGAAAATGCCAAAGAAGTGAGAGATGAATTTGATGCTAGAGCCTTTGCCAATGCTGTTGCTCCTGCAACCCCAATCTGATTATAATCAAGTTCCAAAGAAGTCAGGGAAGAATTTGATTCCAAAGCCTGCATATCCACTCTGATTCTGAGAAAGAATCAAAGAAGTCAGAGAGGAATTTGATTCAAGAGCCTTTGCCAATGCTATTACTCCTGTCATTCTGATCTGGTTAGCATGAAGATTCAAAGAAGTCAAAGAAGAATTCAATTCTAGAGCCTTTGCAAATGCTTTTGCTCCTTCAGCTTCAATATGATTAACATTAAGCTGCAAAGATGTCAAAGAAGTGTTTGATTCTAGAGCCATTGCCAATGCCACTGCTCCTGTAGCTCCAATCTGATTGCAAGCAAGACTTAAAAATGTCAATGATGAATTTGATTGTAGAGTCTTTGCCAATGCTGTTGCTCCTGCATCTTTAATTAGATTAAAACTAAGTTCTAAAGAAGTCAGAGAGAAATTTGATTGCAGAGCCTTTGCAAGTTCTGTTACACCTACATCTCCAATTGTATTATCACTGAGTTCCAAAAAAGTCAGTGTGAAGTTGGATTCTAGAGCCTTTGCCAAAGCTGTTGCTTCAGTATCTCCAATCTGGCTGCCAGTAAGTATTAAAGAAGTGACAAAAGAGTTTAATTTTATAGCTGTTGCTCCTGAATAATTCGGCTTTGTTTCACCTGGTGGATGCTGATTTGGATTATTACTATTACACATAGATAATTGTTTTAATTGTTTGTATACTTTTTCACATAATGGTCGTCCATCAGGATTTTCACTCCAACATGCTGAATATAGTTGAACATATGTTTCTGGTGTTCCTGGAAAAGGAGAATCTCGATAGCCATTTTTTCTGTACTCTGCTACATTAGCACATTTGCTACAAGGAAATTGTCCACTAGAAATTTCCCAGAGCAGCACTCCAAGACTAAAGATGTCAGACTTCTTTCCACGTTTATATGATTGAAATCTGAATGATAGGGGATCTCTGTATGCTGCAGTGCCTTCTCCTATTGATGAGGACATAATCTGTCCAGACAAACCAAAATCAGTGATTTTTGCAACACCAGATTTGATAAGAATGTTGAAAGACGACTATATGAATAATGATAATTGTAAGCTTATAATCGTTAAACTCATGCCCACACTGAAGTGAAATAAAATCACAACTTACCAAATCCTTGTGGATGATATTAAGCATGTGCATGTATCTCAAACCATTAGTGATTTCCAAACCAAGCTTGTACTTGTCTTTCCAAGTTAGCCCATCAAAGTGTTGTTTCAAGTGCCTGCGCAAATGTCCACCGTTGGCAAATTCAAAAATCATATGATAATCTTCAACCTTGTCTTTATAATTTAGAATTGTAAGCCACGTCAATCATTCTAGATAGCAAATTAATAATACAAGTATACTTACAGAGGCCCAAAAATTTGATAATGTTTGGATAACCGCTCAGTTTCTTATGGTTTTTAAGCTAAGATTGTAAATTGTAGTTAATCAGTTGATTATATTAAAGCGACGTACAACACTAATATTACATAAAAGATCACCTCTTTGACAAACTTTTTGTACAATTTTTCCTCACAGTCATACGCATGCGGAACCAAAGTTTTCATGGCAACAATCATTCCGGTGTGTTTCATGGTTGCTTTAAACACTACTCCATACGCACCACTAGCAATAGGTGTACGTCCCACATCAATATCGCTTTCTGGATAACAGTGAATAAAATTCACTTGAATACTTTTGTCTATCCATTCTCTATATATATTATTAGACATTTCCTGCTGATGACCGATTACTTGAGATTGATCAAAGTTGTTTGGTAGTTGGAATGATTGCTGGATACCTGCTTGTGACTGAGATAAGAGTGGAATTGTCTCTGTCGGTGGATGGACCTGTAATATCATAGTAAAGAGCGTGAATTTTGGTACGGATTTATCTCGTAAGTAATCCGAATAGACGAACCTTTGATTGGACATACTCCGATGGCAAAACTCCACGCATATCTTAAACAGAGTTTTGTTGCCCTAATCCATGGTCTAGTTGCATGGGCACGAATAATTCATCCGGTTTCTGTTCTTCATGCTGCCTCGAATACAGATACTGCGACAACCATTGTTGTTGATGTTGTTGCTGCTGATTTGTAAACAAATTTTGTTGAGAAAACAGACCACCGTTCACATTCGGTGGCTGAATAGAACTTGGCAACCGTTCATTTACAGTTAGATTCGAATCGTATATATATACCGGCGGCGTTTGTTGTTGGTGTGCCAATTGCGAAATAAAATACGTTGGCCGTCCACTGGAGGTAAACATGACAGTAGATAATTGTTGTCCTGTTTGCAATACGTCTTGTGAGTCATTCAGAAAATCTGTAAATGATAAACGCTGATTTAAGCCACTTATATACTCTTGATGTATTGGTTGCGAAGCTGGATATCGTACAGCTATCTGGCGGTTAGTGTGCTGTTGTGGCAGCTGGTGTTGTACCGATTCCTCTTGTTGTCGATGATTCCATGGTTGGCTCTGCCAGGCTTGAACAGAGTTTTCGCGGTCTTCATCGCGCACGCATGTGGTGGCTTGAAAAGAATATTCAAAAAATAACTGAGCTGTATTAAGTTGCTGCGACATTTGTAAGTTGGCTACAAGAAAATTAAATCGTAATATAACATTGCATGAGCCAATAATTGAGAAATGCAGATCACCTCCTACAATTAATTTTGGGTTATTATTCTGAGTTTTTGAGTCCTTTATTGGTTAAGGGTTATTATTCTGATGATTCTGGTTATGATATGAAAACGATCAAGTTCGTTGATCTACATCCACGAGTACGTCTATTAATCCAATTATCTTAAGGCATTCTTTACAATATTAGAGTAGCTCTTCGTAATCAATAAATTAAAACAATAATTCATATTCGTTGGTCATTGCCTTAGAAATGACGCTAAGAGGGAAATCGATCTTGCACCGATTTCTACGTTTGTAACATATGATTGCTAGTTATTGTTTACAGAAGTAGTATACCGTTTCCCAATTCGTATCTAAATCAAAAGTAATCCCGTCGGTAGAAATAGAGACATATACAGCTGTTAATTAGTAATTGAGTGTCTTCGTTATATACGTAAGAGATAACCCAATTTAAGGTCGCAAACTGTTGTTTGTATGTAGCGGAGTAGAGGGTTGCCAGCCTCGTTTGAAGTTTAATTCCAAGTCATTGGCTCTCCCTGGTAATTAATCAATAATAGATAATACATTCGCAAAAGTTGAAAATATAGTTACAAAAACTGCTCTGCAATTATGAAGATTAAGGAATTGGTCTATTTTTGTTGAGAAAATATGTTTTAAAGAGACGTCTACATAATTTTTCTTTATAAGCAAACTTTTTTAAAAATAAGGCAACCAGACCAGATACTTTGAACGAAGAGACATACTTTTTATAACTATCATTACACGATAATCAGTGATAGAACTATAGTTATTGAATAGACCTTATTGAGAAAAAAATTTTGTGAAGCAACAAACAATGTAGGGATAGTTTATGGCTTGAAGACATACATGGCTGGATCTTGTTATCAATAATCTAGCTACCCTTCGAGTGAAGTAATTGATGAAGACATGTATAGCCAATCATACGATTCATGAACGAAATGGAACCTGGAGCATGTGCATGTGTTCAAGAAAAAATGAAGAGAATTTTATCTGAGATTTCGTAAATGGTCCTCATACGGTTGCTTCAATTATGTAATAAAGGTCGCATTCTTTATTTACATGTATTGATCGGTTGTCTTGGATGGTTATACTCTTTTAATTTTTCCTCTAATCAGGAAAAAGGGCTGTAAGGCTAATTTTTACTGCTGTTATAATTCATATCTCTAGTATACGCCAACACAACACGGATTTTTATGACAGGCACAGAGCGTCACCCACTTTCCGTGACAAAGCAAGCCGCCACAGCTAACTTGGGATTTTATTTGCTCTTCAATTCGTACAATGCATCTCCCATTTTTCGTTACGCTAAAGATATATCTCATCGCCGAAAACTCATGTTGTCTTATGTTAGAATGTTGTTATAAATTGCTCAATCCACGAACTAAGATTAAAATAAACGATCTCTGAAATTATTACTTTCTTTGATCGTCGAAATATTAATTATTTGACCGAACATACCTGAAACGGCTCACTTAAGCTATAATAGAGGTCAATTAAACGGCCCATTTAAGCTGTAAAGTTGTCCGTATCATTAAATACGTATAAGCGGAACGAGAGTTCTTAATTATTAACGACGAATAATATTAAATTTGAGACAAGTGACGTTTACCCGACTAGTCGAAATACCAAATCGATCGAAGATAGCCCTGTTTAATTTATAAATAGATATTCCCCCTGTATAATCATTGTTGTTGTGATTATAATCGTAGATACCCTTATTTGGATTACGAGTAAGAAATACTCGTATAGGAAGTTTCTAGGAAGCGCGCATAATAATTATTAAATTAGGTCACTTGTAGTTTGGTATTCAGTCTTGATTGAACAACTACCGCAGTATTGGCGCGACGGTAGCGTGAAGCTAAAAGGATAACTGGGCGCGTTTATTCTTAAAGCTTTTTTGTTATTTACTCTCAAATAATGAGCAAGCAAGACACTGGCATATCATTTGTTATACTGTCCGCTTAAATTCACCACCGTTTGGTTAAGCATTCTCAAACCGTCTAAACACTTTAACTTTTGTTTGCCCCCATTTCCCTATTGGCCGTGTCTTTTTTGACCGTATGAACTAGTACAACGTCTAATAGTAATGTTAAATGTTTGTGAATAACAACAGGGGGTCAGTATTGTCTAATATGGTTTTCTATTGGGTAGAGTGTGTCTTAATATCATATGACTATTCGTCTCGTGAGTTAATCAATTACACATTCCAGTTGGGAGCTGCAAAAGTTCATATGCATAGCCTTCTCATATTCGCACTTTCTACTACACAAGAACATTGACTGCGGAGTGGAGGAAACATCGATTATAACTTTAATCTCGTAACATGCAATTAATTTGTAAAGTATATTTTGTCGATTATAACTAACACAAATGGACATAAAAAGTTTCAGATTATTGACTATATGGTGCACAAATATTGCGATATTTCAAGCGATTCATTATTAAAACTGCGTGTGGTTTACCTTTACGGATAATTTATGGTTTAAAATCAACGTTAGTTAACATCAATCTCTACTACCACAGCTCCGCACCAACGCACATTGTGAATCAATTCTAATTTTCTAAACATCAAAATTTTTTATTAATTCAACGTGCATTTTGCTACTGGCTAAGGGATATATGGTAAGTAGAAACATCATAATTCACTATCGAATAAACTCCAAGTTTATGGAAATTTTAAATCGCTAAATTATAAAATAATAAAAGATGTTAACCTATTTCTGAACTCGGCAAACTGAAATCTGGTAGCGGAGGAGAATTATCACTGTTTTTTGGTTGAGGCAAATCTCCAGTAGGTAGGCGCTTACTAGAATATTTATTCTCCTTCTCGAGACGTGATAAGGGTTTTACATCAT